TTAGATAGCTCAAGTCAATCGCAGTTCAAAGTCTTAATACAAGAATATTTTTAAAGTAAATCTAAAGTAACCATGCCACCAAGTTTTACAATGAAATTTATTCAGTCAATAGTGGACTTTAAAAATGATCAGATTGCATACAAATAACGATGTTATCCAGTTGTAAATATTTTCAAAAATAATATGCCCTTGATTATATTTTTGTGTTTATTTTATTTTTTCTTGCGTTATTTGTACATGTTAAAATAAGGTTTTAATATAACAAACACACAAACACAAATAACTTAGGTGTTGTTGATACGTTAATACATTGAACACATGCGTGAAAATATTTTTCTCAAATTCATTCATCTTTAAATGAAGACTCATAAAAAAAACTTCTAATCTCGAATAACTGGTCATTACCCTCCAGGTTGCTGCTATATCTTGTGTGTAGTGCACTGCAGATAGACGAACCACACAACCCAACATTCACATTCGGATCCAAGCTCATCTCTCGGTCGCATCGACATCTTCCACTCGCTCACGTTATCATTTCGTAACAAGTGCGTTAAGAATTTAAAAAAATATCCGCAAATCTTTCTTTGTGACTTTTTAAATGTTGCATGTTTCAACGCAAACACACACACACACAGTTACCTTGTTGTATATATGTTCATGCATGTCTACGTTTTTCGAAAGTTCTCGGTATAATTAAATAACAATTTAAATTAACGGTCTTAATTAGAAGGTTAGGAACTTTTTTACTAATTACCTTTGAAAATTTGGCAACAACACATTGTCCAATAAAAGGTGATTGGCTTCGAATCATCGAGTCTGTAGTCATTTTTACTTTTATTTTAACGTAAGGTTAGGGTATCACACTATTTGATATTTCCTTAAAACATCAAAATTTTTGTTATTTTAAATCTAATCATCCAAAATTTGCAAAGATGAAAATGCATAAAAACAATCGAACATGCAATTTGACAGCTGTGTGGCGAGATGGCAGGTCCGCGTGTTTCAATGTAAAAAAATATTCTGGTTATCCTGGCTGGGAAATAACTTTGAAACATTGATTTACAAGTAGAGGAATGTGTGTTGGTTACGTCAATACCTTCGAGTAACGCGTAAGAAAGAATGGAGAAAAAATATTTGAAAAATAATTGTTACCAAAAAATTTTGATGTATGTAGGTTGAACGCCTCATTTCTGCCTGGTTATCACCGAAAGAGCCGTGCCAATGCTGAAGTAGAGCTTGAAGGGGTAATCAACAACGATCAGAAATGAGATATGGTTTCCATAAATTTGTTAGATAAACAAAATTGCATTTTTTTAAATTGAAAAAATTGTTATTTATCAATTCACATCATCATTGCTATTGTTTGATTATTTATAATATTTTCAAAAAATTATTCGACACGTAGCTTAAATCGCTTGTAAATTAAAGCAACATAATAATTTATTGTCAGTGATTATCCAATTCAACCGGTTAGGTAAAAACATCAAAAATAGTTCAAAAATTCATCTGTTGTCTTCACTACCTAATCATTGTTATTCACAGTTAAAATTGAGAACGATGATTAACTGTTTGCTGTGAAATTGATAGCTAATTAAAAATAATTACTTTTGGAAAAACATGTTAATTACATTTCAAATGCAATTCAAAATATTGAATTGCTGCAATTCACACATTTTTAACTGATAACTGATTCTAACCCTGTTTGCAAAAGGAACAAAAAAACAGAAAAAACAGACCTTTAAATTATTTAGAAGGAACCAGAAAAGAATAATAATCTGAGTGACTAATTTTAAAGATGGTGTTTTAACCGGAACACTCATGTGGTGACAGGGTCACTGCAACACATGAATAAATGTTGTTTTTATTATGGAACTTTAGAGCAATATATGCTTTACTTGCTTTTGTGCTACTCCCATAAAAAAATAAAAACGTAAACTGTTTATTGAAATTTGTGAATTAATATGTGGAGCTTGGATCAGTGACCATTTTTTATAAAGAAGATAATTATGAAAAATTGGACAACAGTTTAAAGAAACACTAGAAAGTACACATTATTTTTAAGGAACATTGGAATAGAGACAATACAGCAATTCAAACAAAAAGAAGTAACATTTGTGCCAACTGAGCAATTAAATTTTGCAAGAAAAACAGTGTAAAAGTGCAGAAAAAATCAATTTAAAATTTCTTTTATTAAACAAGTGATTGCGTTGTATTATATTATTTAACTACTACGACTAAATAGAATTTTATATTATGATATACACTCATAAGTACAATTTTATCCGAAATGTCAAAAATAGTTTTTTTTCCGGGTGATGTCTTTGAAATAAAATCATAAATGAATGTCTCTTTCAGTGTTTTTATACCAAACATCATTTTGTGAGACCATGGCCTTATGAGGTAGTAAAAATGTTATAACTCTATTATCCAAGCTCATCATGAAAATTTAATGAAACTGTTGTTTTCCGAATTCATCATACAGATAGGCCATATTTCGATTTTTCACAAATCACCTTCAGAGCAGGTTTGGTTCATATAGTTTCTATATATATATATCAAAATATATAAATTATTCATATATATATATATATATAAATAAAAATATATAATTCTTTTTGTATATTAAAAAGAACAAAACATTTTTATTCTTTCTATATAACCCACTGAGGTTGTTTTTGTTTTATCAAATTCGACATGCTTTTTATAATTTAGTTCAGAATCAATGTATACTTTTACTAGTATTAAGCAATCAACTTTTTTATTTTGAATTGTTAAAAAATGTAATTAGATTTAAAATTTAACTGAACACAATCACAAAAAATTATATTGCTATTAACATTCTTCAAAGTTTGCTAAAATTTAACCCATTTTGAAAATGTATAACTCATATTGGAAATGTAATGCAAGTATTATATACGTTTAAAAAACAGAAATAAAATTGATAAAAATAAAGTTAAGGGGATAAGCGATGATTATATAGAACGCGATTGAATACGGCAATGACAAAGCAAACATTTATGTTCTATAAATAGTGTTGTCAACAGAAAATTTATCATATAATCATATGGATGCAGACTTATTTCGCATATGTCTCTATAGATGTTAATAACCGCCTGCAGTTTTTGTTTGCACGCCGGCGTTAAATCATACCGACGAACAGCTATAGAAAACTAAAGAAAATATCTTTTTGCTATGGTGAAATATTAAATAAATATCAATTGCCAACTATCTGATGTCATTTTAAATTCTTCTTAGATTAAAATTTATTTAAATACAGATTCAGCATGATGTTGTGGTAATTAATTAGCACCTTTTGAACCATTTATATATATTCTCTATATACTCATTGACCACTTCTTTGTTTTTTAGTAATTTTTATTTACTTTCAAGTGGTTCAGAGATGATTTACAAATTTATATGTCCTGTTAGTTAATTTCTACAGTTACATTTTAAAATTTATTTTTGAATACCTTTAATTAACGTCCTCAGATCTCTGAGAAACACTCACTTATCTAACAATGATTTCGATCAATTTTCTCACCTACACGCACAAACTGACACACACACACACACACACACACACACACAATTACCATCACATTTCTTTAACCAACATAAAACAAGCATTGATAAAAAGTCATAAGCAGAACCAGACATACACGCACATTAAATACCTGGTGTATGTTGTTCGATACGATCTTTCTCATTATATTTATATATCTGCGTGTACTTCTAGATTATGATGTTTTAGCTTTTGGGCATCATGCATGTTATTGTATCGTTCAAGTATGCCTATACAACGATGTCCCTTACTTGTTTGTAATGACTTTGTTGAATGCTCTGTACCTCTTGGATGTATCTTTTTTTCGTGTGGTTTGCGTGTTTGTACGTGAACAACAAGAATGTATGTGTGTGTTTTTGTATTGTGTTGTACAGGATGTGTGTACAAGCGTGTGTGTGTGTTTTTATTGTCCGTGCGTGTACAAAGATGTATGTGTGTGTGTTGTATGTATGTGTTGTGTGTATGTGTGTTTTTTCATCGTGTTCTTACAGGGAAGTGGCTTGTTGCACTTATTACAGACCAAGCAGAAATAGGACACGGAGAAGGAATAAGATCCTGCAATTAATAACGATCAAAATGCGATAAGACGTTCGTCACCGGGGTTAACTCGCTTGCCTCTGATTTATTGCAGTAATAAGAATGCGTCATTAATAAAACTAAGAGAAATTAATTTATTTAGGAGTTTCAATCTATTTTGACGGTAATATGAAATTAAATGTTGTTCTTGTTCTACAAAGAGATATTCAACCGATTGTAAGTAGCGTGCTTGCGCAGTAGGGTAGGTCGTCAGAAAAAAATTGACTGTGAATAGTGATAAAAAGTTGCTATGGTATGGATCTAGTATGAAATGAAAATTTTTTTCGAAATCAAGACTTATCTTCTTTTGCCGCCAGATGGAGCAGGATTGGCATTTTTAGTTTATATTGTGCTTTTTATACAATGTGCATAATAATTAGTAGATCAATTAATTTTAATTTGAAGTTATAATTAATGATTACAGTAATCATTATTTTTATTATTAGTCTGTTTAGGACTTATAAAAATACTGCGAATCACTAACGGCGCTTCTTATTTTAGGGATTAAAATGAAGAAAATTAATAATTGCAAGGACATAAATTTTCTCGTTCACGGCAATATTAATTTTTTAATTCGTTCTAAATAATAAACACCGTTATCGAGATGCTCTACTAATAATTAATAATAAATTTGGAAATAATTATAAACAACTGCAATTACTAAAATTAGGAATAACTGGGCTTCCGATTCTGGTAGTTGTGACGCTTGTTCAAATTGGTCGATGCTCTTCCTCATCAAATAAAATAGAACGGTTTTTTTATATAAAGTTACGTGATTGATTTAAAACATGTGTTAAAAGAAATTTAAAGACAAAGAGTTTGTGAAAAGTCCCAGGCGTCTCACGCAGAATCTTTTAGAAATATGCTCCAGTTTCCTACAGTGGCTAGAGAATGCGATAGGTATGGCGTATCTGATGTTGCAAGAGCTACTATAGCTACAGCTGCCCTCACAGATTATGAAGTTATAAAAAAAAAACGACAGGACAGCTATTATTGACCGCTCAAAGCTGAGAGCCAAATTAACGTATGAAGCAAAGATAACTCTAGCAGGTCCAAAGTCAAATTCCTTTGATGGAAGAAAAGACAACTATTTGTACGTCATTAACTTGTAGCAAAAGCTTTTTTGTTGAAAAACATATTACGTTACTTAAGGAGCCAAATTAAGGAGCCTATTGCTCCACAAAAGCTTTTTGTGGAGCAATAGGGAAAGCACTTGAAAAATGTCAAGAGTTAACTGTTGTAAAATTTGTAAAACGGTAGAATAATTTGACTTCAACAGGATATCACAAATATGGATGTAAACAAAAATCAGCAGTATCTTTTCAACATAGTTAAAACAATAAAAATTGGAAAAGTACTAGAAGAACTGACTAAAAAAAACCTAGTCCTTTAATCCATTCACGTTGGCATACAGCAGCCAATATGTATGTTTCAACCACGTCACCTTCTAAAGAACTCACAGTGCTTACGGACTACATTCTAATCTCCACTGTGGTTTTTTTTACAAAAATACAACCTCAGTGGTGTTATATCGATGCTAGGCACCTGTGGCGCTTGATTCAATTTTTGCGTTTTCTTCCTAAAAATGAACTCCAGATAATAAAAAAATGTATTCAAAGAAATTCACCTAGAAAATATTCTAACAGCAATGCTGCTGGATGACAGAAAAGAGATAAAAGAAGTTGCAGCCGGACAAATTAAATTTGCAAGAAAAGCCACAGCACCTGGTAAAAATAAAATCAGAAAATTTCAATGTCCTTCTCTTAACTTTGAGCCTGCCATATACTATTGTCTTTTAAATTGGCAAGACGATCCAAGAACCTCGCCACCTATGCTACGAGAAATAAGCGATGACAAAATTAAAGCAGCAATCAAAGTACCTCGGAAGTGGGCACTAGAAAAATATCCTTGCCATTATCAAAGCGTGGAACAACATGTATAGTTGGTAACCGAAACATCATTGCCAGTCTGTGGTGCTCTGAGACGTAATGGATATATAAGAGCAAAATTAGAATAAAGAAAAGAAATTCCACATTTTGGTTTGAAGAAGGACTGGAAAACAGGAAAAATTAACTGAAACTGATAATATATTAATAGTAAATATTTATTATAATAGAATAAAAGTATATTATATGCAAAAAACAGTGTATTTTAATTATCAAATATACCGAAAATTATGTTGTGTAACTGTATCACTTTTTAAAAAAAAATAATTTGTGTTTTTTTACAAAAAAAATTGTATTTAAAAAAAAATACAGTTCATTACGTTGTTGAAGATTTGAGTTGAAACACTAAAAGGAGCTGTAAATCTTATTCTACATTTTTATGCAAATGCTTTTGCTATTCAGTTAACTTAAAAAAATTATTTGATCAATTTCAGCTCAGTTGTCTGTGTTTTTATTTAATTTTTGTTGCAAGTCTTAACTCATTCAAGTTAACTACCAACGTTCAAACATCCAAAGATATGATGCAATCAACCGAGCCAGGTTTATTAATTTTGGTTAATTTTAAAATTTTGTTAACTTTTAACAGTTTTTTTCATTACATTAAACTTCATCAAACTTTTTGTTGAGTGAATTTGTTTAAGTTTCTACGTTTTTTTGCTTTTTATCAGCTAATTAAAAAAAACTTTTTGCCAAACATTTTATTGAATACGCAAATACATCCGTCACCGCATGTCATTTCTTAAAAGCCATCATTAGTCTTCTGCTTTTTTGTTGTTTCACATTTTCTATTCATTCTCCCGCAACATTTGCTGAATATTTTTAAACGTTTTTGTTTCACCTGTCAACTTATGTTCACAATTCAGTATATATTTTTTGTTTCGAAAAGTTAGCGTTCAAATTTTTTATTGAAAAATTTTTTGTGTGAAAGTATTTTCACATTTTGTCAACATTTTCAACGCACGACTGAACAGAATCAAATTATAAAAGAATTTCCCTTCTTGTGTTCAAATTTTTCTTTGAAATCAGCATTTTACAAATTGGCAAATTAGTCCATCAAAATTTTTTCATTTGAAAATTAACAAGAAACTGCTATAACTCGCATGAAAATGCTAACACTGGCAACAAGCAAGACAACTTCACGACAAATGTCAAAGTACAATGTTTACCGTCAGCCACTGACCAACATTAATTACATAATTCCAATAAAAAAAAATGCTTCAAGCAAACACAGCTTGATTCTTGCGTACACAGCAACAACATGATTCAGTCTGTTCAATCGTTCGCAGTAGGGCCGTGGTTTCGTTCGATTGAATGTATTTGCATTGTCATGTGAAGAAGTGAAATAAACGCTGTGAGAGATTGTGTGGTGTTTGCTTGTGATGATTCATAACGTCTGTGTAGGCAAACATCAGAACTGCTTAAATAAACAACATTTTATACAACTGGGTTACGAATGCGTGATAATTCATTTATAATCAAGTTCCAATTTTTAAAGTGAAAACATTTTAATAGAAAAACCACGAGCGTAAACAAAATTTTTTTCATTGAACGTCTATTTTTGAAGATTGTTTCATGGAGTGGTGAATGTAATGCACTGTCTGTCTGTTTGGCAATTCATAAATAACCTCATTGGTGTTGCTTTTTCAACTAATTAGTTCCATGAATGTTTATTATATTCCCACAAATTTTATATAAATATGTTCACATGCAATCACAAGAACAAATGCATTAAATTAAGTTGTTTCTCTCTTTTTCTCCTCTCTTTCTCTCTCGCTCTTTCTCTTTCTCTCTCTCTCTCTCTCTCTCTTTCTCTCTCTCTTTCTCTCTCTCTCTCTCTTTTTCTCTCTCTCTCTCTTTCCCTCTTTTTCATGAAAATATAGATACATGTTTTATAAGTAATTAAAATTAGTTTTCACAATTAAAATTAGTCTTTCTGCTTCCGTTTGTTAAAAAAGAGGGTGCGTTTTTGTTAAATAAATACTGTTTGAAAAGCACCCCAAAGGTTCAAAAGAAGAGAATTTGAAGTTAAATACATGTGTATATATATCCATAGTTAAATATGACTTTGGAGAGGCATAATGAGGAAAAAAAAGTTTTAAATAATCTAATCCTGGAAGCGAAAATTTTAAAATAGAAACAAATGGAAAATTTGAAATTAAAAATTTCACGGAGCACAGTACTATACCCGCATCCACATTCAAGTGGGATGGAATTTCATACCATCATGTTCTAACGATCAACATCCAACAATACAATACACATTAGTTTCCGATAAATTAAGCCAAAAATTCAAAGACTATGCAGCTTGCAAAAGTTTAAAATTGCTTCAAAGACTCACAGTTTAATTTTGTTTGTGTAGGCATTTCCACTAAAAAAATGTGCTCCTATCTTTACATTGAAATTGTGTAAATGGAAATATCACAAAACTGCCTAATTTCATAATTTATCACGTGATCAGCTCACGACGTCATCTCCTCGCCATGCAATCATCAGAAAATAATCCCACCGTCACGATCATCACTATCACAATACCACATTTTATTAGCAACAAATCAGTTGAGAATCAAATTTTTAATTTATTCTCGAAAAAAAATCATTACGAACCTCGACAGCTTCCTTTTTCATAATTTATCTTCCAAATTTTTCCTTCGATAGGTTATAGAGCAGGCAGATAAAAACAAGTTTTATTCAGCGAGATAACATCTGCTCATTCAAATAAATTTCTTATATGAGGTCAAATTCATCTTCAAAACTTTTTAACTAAGAAAGAACTGATGTCATTTAACTATGTGTCTATCTGTTCACTACTTTTCAATTGCTACAGAAACAAGATTTATTGCCCAGCGATCGATCATGGCACAAACGCGTGTAAGTGATATCAGGAGGAAGAGTGCACGTACCTACTTTCATCTTTATCCCACCGACAGCAATGAACGGAGCCTGAACAGTAGTTGCAGATGCAATAGCAGACAATCAACCAACTTCATTTCACTCGCTACGTAAAATTACAAAATCATTAAAAATATTTTTTAATGCACTATTGAAAAAATTTATAAAACTTTATTTTAGCTGGAAATAAAATATTCCAGCTTAAAAGCATTCGTCTGAACATTGCATTCGCGCATTTTTTCCACCAATGCATTTTTAAACTTATAAATGAGAGCTCGCTCGGCACTTCCAACCTCAACATATCGATCGAAGGCCAGACGCACGCGAATTTTATTACAATTTTCTTCGCGCGATTTTTGCGATTGCTAAAAATTCGATCAACATATCTCATTAAATGTGAGAGGCCACTATTCTATTTAAGTAGCATCGCCTAAAAAAGTCAATATTTTGTGGAAATAAAAACGAAAATATTATAAAACTCTGAGATGTTGGAAGCAGAATTTATAAAAATTTGTTGGAATAACTAACTGAAAATTTACATTTCATCCATCAACAAAAAATAACAAAATGCAAAATGTTTTTCTCAATGCGAGGCTTGCGCGTGCATACGTAATGTGCAGTCTTTTTGGCACAAAAATTAATTATAAGTATAGAATAACATGTATTAATTATAAGTATAGAATAACATGTAAGCAGCTCTGCGTTTGACAGAGCTGCGTTATAAAGAAAAGAAAAATTATCTGTTTATAAACTTCGAAGCACCGATACTATGGAGAGAAGTTATTTCCATCTAACAAGCGATTTTTAGAAAAATTTATTTGTCACGCATTACATTTGATTGCTCCTTTTAATTTTTTGCTCAATAAATAAATCTGATTTTCATCGAGTTAAAATTGTTTTCTGAATTCAGAGATATAAATTTTTGATAAATACGTAATTTCTTACTTTCAACTCTTGTTTCATTTTTTATATTAAACACCAACGTGATCAATTAATTAAATCTTCGTGGACCAAGACATACAATTTTTTCCAAAATATTTTTTGCGTCTGCGTGATTCGATCAAAAACACACACGAAACTTCTAAAAGTAACTTTGATGTTAAATCTTTAGATAACAAAAAAGTGTGCAAATGTTTTTGTTGTATATATTTTGAAGGAATTAAATATAGGTATATTTAAATAATATCTTATTCCAGTAATTTCTTGGCTATTGTGCATCTATAAAACAAAAAGTGTTTGCATTGCAAGAAGCACCACAAAATATAGCTTCCAGGTTGTAGAAATGTTTACTGATATCACAAATTTCGGTTTCGGTTTCAAGTTAGCAGTCCAGGTGTCGTCTTACTCGACTTAACACAACGCAAAATATCGCATAACCACAAAAGTTTAATTAGGTCAAAGTAGCCAGCTGCTCGTCTGGCAGTGGAAGGTTTTTCAAATGCATTTGTTGGGAAAAAGTTTAACAAAATTTCTATTAAAACAACATAAAATAGAACGTAAACGGATGAAAATTGAATGGCAAACTCAGTGATTCTTTACACCCCAACATTACTCACAAATATTCAACATTTTGGAGTTTGATAATAAATAATCAATGATGTCCCCAAATTGTTTTATCGGTTTTTCAAAAATAATGCATCAAAAATATAAACATTCATTATATACAAATTTCTAACCATGCACACGCTTTGCTCATCTTATTAAGTCATTGTTCGTTTCAAAGAGTATCAAATAAGTTTATTTCAATCATGTCCAACATCGTGTCTCTTAATAAAATGGTAAAATTTATAATTTACCAGATCTTTATAACTAAGGTAATAATTTTGTTACTATTACGATTGCACCTCCATAAAGGCAGACAAAGTTTCCATCTTAAAATTATTAATGTAGTGTTAAATTATTTCCATAAGAAAGGCAACCAACTGTTGTTTGAACGATGTAATAGACATTTGTTTAATTATTTACCTTGGAATTACAATTCTATGATATAATGATAAGTTAGCAGATGTGGTTGAGAAGGCCAACAAATGTATTAACTTCTGCAGCGTATACTAACAATGAGTGTAGAACGCATTTACAGGCGTATGCCTGTACTTTCTTGTGCCTG